TTAGGGCTGATGCAGAGGAGGTTTATGGAGGAGGCTTGGATGATGAGGGAATTGAGTGGCCAAGAGTGGCCATAGGTCTGTCTTATATGTGAGGTCCAACTTCCCTTGTCCATCACTAAGTAGATTTCATCTTTCATCATCACACAGACTTCTGAAAAAAAAAGAAATCTCTTTTTCATGGAAAAATTTAGTACCGTTTTAAACTTATTACCTTAGATAAAAATAAGGATGTCTTACTCTAAGCAAAATACCTGAAATTAAATGCCCAGATTTGTGAATTAAACAAATGAGGATTTTTATAGATTAAGTCAAGTCCTGTCTTTGTAGAATTCTTTGATTGCAAATGGCATTCTTCTGTGAGCTTCCATCATAAACCACTTCTTGTGGTAGCCTCAAAAAATGGCCTGTGTTTTGCAGACTTCTCTCTGGATTTTTATATTTTGAATACTGTACTGTGGGAATAACTAACCTATTTATTTTTATTTTTTAATTTACTTCATGATTTCTTGTAAAAACCAGCCTAAACCATAGCCAGCTTTATTTTTTTAAATATAATAATCTATTTTTACATTGTTGAGAGTAGCTTGGGTAGAGCAACCAAGCTCTACCACAGTAAGTTCCATTCAAATATACCATTTTAATTAATAACTGGGAAGAGATACCGTAAATTCAGTATTTTAGCTACAAAAGCAAATACATTTTTAAGGAGGTAAGATAGTGTACAAAAAGATTAGACTGCTTAAATTTTCCTATTTCATCTTTTTGTGAAAAGCAGGGAAAGCAAATTGCAAATATCTAAAATGTCAAACTAATGGAAGTATAAATGATGAACAACTTGTAATGCATGCAAAGAAGCCATAGTTTGCTGTGGGACTGTGAAAAAAGAACTGAATAATTCATCAAGATAGTATAAATTAGAATATTTCAATGCAGCAGTTGCAGGTTTGTTTATTGATCTACCTGGTATAAGTAAGTTCTTAAAGTGTTCATTGAATAGCACAAACAAGAAAATGTAATATACCTAAAACACTGAAAATGCTTTATTTCTGGTTTTGGGACTTCATTGCCCATCAGGGAAGAAAATCCCAAACAAACATGAAAACAGAAAAAACACGGGTACGTTACATAATGAAATATAAAAGTTGTTGTTTCTGTAACACCTAAGACTGGACTATTGCAGAATACCCATAACTACGTATTCTTACCATTATTACCGATATTCTTACCATTATTAAGTGGTACTTCAAATGTCAATAAAACTGACCTACTCTTACAGCCACTGAAACTTTGCATCTTTCTGTCCTCCTTCCCACTCAGAAATACAGCGGAGAGATGGTTTTGCACAAGTGTCTATAAACTGCACGGTGTAATCAAGTCTCAAATAATTAGACCAATTAAAATCAACACATTGAATAGCTCCCTGAAACATCATGGTCTACAATCAAAAAATGTCCAACATTAGTAAGTTAGTTTAATTTTGAGTAATTAGCCTGAAGCAAAGAGCTTTTTCCCTTTTAGTTGAGAACTTGTTCTCCAGAAACCACGAGAAGCAGGACTGAGTAAATCAGTCTGTATCACCTGTGCTGTGGTCAGCTCCACAATATCCTTGCTGGAAAGATTTGAAAAACGTCCTTCATCATCACAGATGATTCCTCTGATGTCCATCTGATGGCATCACTCAGGTCTTTTGCCCACCCTCGGGGCAGCTTTCCAGAATAGGACTTCAGTCCTCAAGCAAAAGGCTTTCTGAGGAGCCTGTAGAAGCTCTCAAGTCTCATGTGTTGGCTTCATCCATCTCCTTTCTACATATATTCTTCATCAACAAAGTTGTACAAAACCCACTCCTCCCAAAAAGTGCTTATTTTGGAGCCCTGTGCACTTGCAGGAATCGGCAGCACCTCTGAAAGTTCTGTTGCATGTGTGAGGTAGAGTGAATGGTCATTCATTGCTGTGTCTGTAGCTCAGTAGGCAAATAATTGCCCTGTGCCCATTTTACCAGTCCTGGAGAGTAGCGTGCTGATCTCTGAGGTTCACCAAGGAACAAAGCTGGTTTTCTCTGGTATCAGTGATAAACCAGATTCGAAAATAGGAAAAAAAAATAAATATTATTTTTTAAAAAAACACTATTGAGACAATTATGAAAATGTAAACTTTAGGTATATTATATATATATATATAAACCTTGTCAGGAGGTTTAATGGCTAACAAATTTTAACACATACAATTTTAATCCTTTTCTCCCTGTTTTGCAATAATCATTTCTTTTTTTTTTTTTAACTCAAGTGTATTTTACTATTTTTCTTCTTTAAAGTGATTTCTGAAGTGTAGGAAATGGCATGCACTCAGTGGGGACAGATCCCTATATCCCTGTAGGAGCACTGCATCCTGAGAAGTCATTCTTTCTCTCCTCTTACAAGCATCCTTTTGTAACCCTGGGGGCTCTGGCAGAGGCTGCAGTTGAGGAGGACATCGAAGACCCATTGAGTGCATGAAGGCACTCTGTTGTGCATTAATGCCTGGTATAGTTTAGTTTGAATAATGTGAGCAGGAGTGAGGGAACCTGGGGTGGAAGGCTTCTGAAAACTGGTTGTGTATCAGGGGAGTTGCTGCTTAGATCTTTTTCTGAGATCTCACAACCTAACAGTATTTTGCCTATCTGACTTTGTACAATTGAGGTGTGTTTGCCCAGTAATTCATTATAGGCTGCTCAAATGCTTTATTCTGTAGCACTGGCTCCCTTGGACATGTTACAGTGCCTATTAAATGGCCAGTAAAGATGGACCCAGCTAAGGTAGCATAGGGGCAATCAGGAATTAGTATGCAAGGGGGGATGGTAGTGTAATAAGGTTCATCATTATCCGTGCCCCTTTCATGGGCTACTCCTTCTTAGTCAGAGACTGCAGTGCGAGCTCTTTTGGACATTTTAAGATGCTCAGGCTTTTAACGTCATTGATTTTCTCCATCAGTGATGCTACTGTTGTCATTCATCATCTAGAAAACCCATACATATGGAAGTAAGTCCAACATACTTCACTCAAACTGTGTCTGCAGCTATTCATTATTTTACTCGGCATTGTTACTTGATGCTCAGTTTAAACAGGTCACTTGTTACTTCAAAAAAAGACTAAAAACTTTCTCTTCTGTTTTCCTTTGAAAATGTAGATAATCTGAAAGTAATTAGTGGACGTTCACAGAAGCTGTGCAAATGAAAGGAAGGGCAGGAAATTATTTTGTTCTTCGGGAGTTATCTCTGTGCATTTACACCACTTGTTTGTTTCCCTCTCTGTCTTGGAGGCCAAGAGACAGTGACAGAGCTAAGAGAAGTACCTGAGTCTTTCCAGGGAGTCTCATGATTTAGCAAGCGTCTAAGCAGCGTCATAGTCTGATCTCATGAACTGCAGGCAGTGCCCAAAGGATGGCAGTGGCTAGCAGAGAACTGTCTTTATTTGCTGCAGCTTTATAGGCTGGTTTGGTTGGTTTGTGGTATTATCATGAGAAGATATTATAATTCGAAAGTGTTTGCTACGTCCAGCTCACCTGCCTGACTTTTTCTGTCAATTGCAACTATATATTTTAACACTGATCCTGCAGACCAGCTTCTGGCATAAATCAGATCCTTTATTTACGGGGTTTTCTAGTGAATCAAAGTCTTGCACTCAGGTCTGCAGCTAGCACTTTCTGAAGTCTTCGTGTTTTTAATGATATGTTCTAGACTTTTTGTTTGGAAAAAACGTACAGCTTAGATGCTAAATATGTTATTTCTTGTTCAGAAATTTGATTCTAAAGCACAGGTTAAGCCATTGAAAAAAAAAAAAATCTGTGGTGATTAACTGAATATTTCCTTTCTGCTTGGTTTAAAAAGGTCAGCCCTTCTTCGTGCCAGTTTTTCAAATCTTTCCAGCATTATTCTTTAGTTTCCTAGATAGTGTGCCAAACACCTGGAAATACAATTTCCAGATCTGCATCTTCTGAATATCGAGTGTGAGTGTACAGTGGAGTGATAAGTTAATAAACATAAGTCGTTCATATTCTGTAGGGCAGATATTGGCAGGTCGTTAGTAAGCTGCAAGTGGCTCTCCGTGCATTGTGTGTGCATGAGTACTTCCACAGAAGACTGTAAGCCTTTATAGGTGATGCAGCCTTGTGCCTTACAGAAACATACTGCAGGAAGGAGGACTGCTAGAAATTAAAAGTAATTGAGGTTCCAATACATGACAACAATAACAGTCTGGCTTCCCTTTTTGTGACAATCTCCTGCTTGTAAATTGCCAGAAGCAATATTCTTTACTTGCTTATTCCAACCGAAGGATTTGCAAAGGTAACTCATTTCATCCTCTGATTCACTTCTTAGAAATCCCTTTTTTCTTTTCCCTTCCAAAAACATAACCTGAATACTTCTAATTTGTCATGGTGGTTATTTTGGGGGTTGGTAAAATCATAAAGCATTACCAGCAGAATCGTGAACATTCCTTCTTGTACTCTTTGTAACAGAATCCTGTTTTGAAGCCTGATGTAGTCCTGAAAGAATATTACAGTCTGCTGAAATTATCATTAAAGTGCTTGCAAATTGCTGATAAAATGCATAAATTACTTTCTTTATGCTATATGTATATACTTGTGCATGTGTGAGGGTGTTTGTACACATAATACAAGAAAATGTGTCCAAGTTCCATTCACATTCGTATGTATACAGATGCATTCAGATGCAGTATTTTTTTAAAATCCAGTCAAGATTTTGTATATCCATGCAATCTCTAGCATCCCTCCCCTCAACATACATTTGTTATTTTAACAAATCATTATACTTGGATAAATTAAGACTAAAACACTATATAATTTTAATTTACCTTCAGATGAAACAATGACATTATGACTTATCTAGAGAATTACTTTCTGCATTTTGGTCAGGTTTGGGGGTTTTTTTTGTTTGGGGGGGGGGGTTTTGAGTTTAATGCCTACCATGCAATGACAAAGGTTTATTCTCCCTTTGTTCTTTTCAGAGTGCTGCAGCAGCTCCCAGTCCAGTGCTAGGAAACATTCCCCCAGGAGATGGCATGCCAGTAGGTCCTGTTCCACCGGGGTTTTTTCAGGTATTCAGAAAAATTGCGATTACAGGAATTTTAGGGTAGAAAATCCTCCGTAAATACTGTTTACAAGTCTGTAGAAAAGGTCTTGTTCTAAACTGTGTCTCACTATATGGTACAATACCTGAGAGTTTATTTTTTAACAAAAGTGAATAGGTGGAAAGGAAGGGATCTCTGTGACTGACAAGTATTTGGTTTATGAAATAGTACAGCACAACTCATTTCAAAATTTCAAGGAAGGAAAATGGTGCCAGTTTATGAGTGGAGACTGAAAGTGCTTGAATTCTTTTAAAAGAATTTCTTACTATAATGTACGTACATGGCATTGAAACTTTAAAGTTAAGAACTTCGTTGGTCATGTTTAGCTCTGTGGTAAAGTTGCAGGCCAGATTTTTAAGATGTTCAAGTTTCAGTGGGAATTAAACCCAGGCAATTAAGAATAGTCCTCTCAGCATCTCCTTGAACATCGAAGATCTCAACTCTAATGCCTAAAAAAACAAGCCAAGGATTTAGGCCATGTGTTGCTTCTAGTTTTTTCATAAATTAAACTAAATAACCGAATTATCACTTTGGATGTTAACAGTACAGAATACTATGATGGAAAAAATTGAAGCTTTTGTTCAAGGCCAACCTAACAGTTGTAATCCAAGACTGGACTGTTCCTATGAGCAAGCTTGCATCTCCTCTTCACCAAAGCTCAGTTGTTTTTTTTCCACACTGGCAAACTATGGCTGTGCAGCAGGAACAAAAACTAGCAGCATCTCTTCCACTTCACATAGTTGATCTTACAATGTGAAACAACTCAGATTTCCAGGATTGTGATGTGGGGAGAACATCATGATAGGAAGTTCTGTCAAAACCCAAGTGCTGAAATCCAGGTGGAGACCACAGTCTTTTTCCTTCTTCCCTGAGATACATAGGTAGGCAAAAGAAACGAATTAAAAGATACTTGCAAGTGAAGTAGAAAATATCTTAACTGTTGCCAATCACAAAATCCTCAGGAGTTGGGAGAACTAGTTGTTTATTTTATTTCTAATTTTCCTGTTTTGAACCGCTGGTTAGGTAGATTGTTTTAAACACAATTTCATCTTAATTTTTAGATTGTATAAATATTTCACTTTTTCTTATTTTGGCTGCCCATTCCAGTTGTATGTTAAAGGAATTAAAGTTTAAAGCTTTTTTCTTTTATTGTCTTTGAAGACAATTAAGAAGGGGAAGGGGCACAGATAGGACAAGTGTATGAAGTGTAGAGGAGAGAGTAACTCTTTTAAAGGTTTTGCAGGAGGCAGAGGTGTAATTTCTGTTTTTAAAAGCATGAAAAGTCTTCTAGCCACTCTAGATCTTTAAAGATGTAAGAAAGATGATAGAAAGTTGAGTATGGGTAAACTTTCCTTGTCTATCAGTATCTGACTTCAGTCTTACTTGAAGCCCCACCAACAGCCTGCTCTTCTTGCAAGACCTGGGATTGAAAATAAACAGAGGAAAATCCATTTTCGGTGTGACACAGTGTGTGACATTAGTCTGAAGTATCATCAACTCAACAGCATGGCCAATGAGTCTTCCACAAGGCAGGTTCCAAGAGCTGGTCTGCACAGTCTGGTCTGGACTCCTCTAGACATCACCCTTCACCTCTCCTTGAAACTGCTGGGTCTGTGCCATCGTGTCTTTCTGTAACATGCATTAGTCCCTTACAGTTTTACCTGATAAGATCTACTTTCCTCAGTTGAATGGCCTTGTCAACAGAACAAACTTTTTTCAAGAGATTATTAGTTTTCGCTGTAGTCATCTGCTTAAGCATATATGTAAAGAAATAACATGCTAGTTAGCAAATCTGACTGCAAGTTTGATAGCGGACACATCGATATGGTTGGGAGCCATCCCAGCAAGGGGAGCTAGGCCAAAATCCAGTCAGTGTGCTGAAACTGTATGGCATGTATAAAGCAAATAAGTAGAGACAGTCAGTGACATTGTGTTGTGGTGTTACAGTGAGAGTTGGCAAGGACCAGTTAATACCTGGTTGCAATACTTTCAGACGGAGCTGACTCTTACCAATGTCAATTTGTCTTCAGAGAAGAAATAGATTGGCAGACAGAGCCATGTATGTGAACCTTGGAAGTTAAGGAACATCATCTGCTGCTGTAAAAAGTGGGTGAAGAGACAAGCAAGAAAGAGAAAGTCATAGTCAAAACTTCTGATTTCCTTCATAGGTGCTTTCTTTCTAGTACACCTTTAAATAGACAATCAGTTTCTTTATGCTATTCTGCAATTCCTCTGATCCTGGATGATCACAAGAGTAAACTGAAACTACCACATAAAACATCTGTTTTCTATGAACTACCAATCTTCTTTCACTGAGAGGTTGGAGTTTAGACCTGCAACTCACTCATAGATTATGAAACTGAACAATTTTGGTTTTTAAGAGTCAGAAGATTATAGAAACAGCGTGAAAATGGTGGTTATATCTGTATGTAGTTCACTAAAACTTTACACTACAAAAAAATGTTTAAACTTTATGTAACCTAAAATTTATCTAGAAGGTCATCCTGGAATGATAAAGCTGCCTTTTGTTGCTTCATGAAATGTTTGGATTGGCCTGAGCTAAAGCTGTTGATGGCCACTGCTTTCCAGCTCTGCTTGGCTAACTCAGAATTGATAGATGATGTAAAGTAATTTCATTTCTCATCAGGACTGGCTATTGGTTTTGTGCTGCAGCTCTATTTCGGCATCCGGCACTAACCAGTAACCTGGACATAAGCGAAATGGATGATTTTGCTGCTGCAATTGCTTCTTACCAGACAGTTCAGGGGAATGGCAACCTACGTGGGCACTGTGCTGGCAACCAAAAAACATTACCTGGGTTACAGTTTTGCTGGCACTGCTGACCACTAGTATTATTTGTATGACCTTTATTTTTTATAAAAGAAAATAATGCCATACTCTAGTGTAGCACATGGAGGTAGATAAATATGGGAGAAGTATGGTTTCTCAGACAGTATTTGGTAGAACTCTGCTCTCCATAAAATGAGGTTTTCCTGTATATGTAGGCCACCAGCACTGATGTTAATTATTAGTCGCTGTGTCGTTTTATGTCTGGTCCACAGATGTGGAGCTCTGAAGCCAGCAGTTGAATTTGTCTTTTATCTTTGTACTTGTGTTTTTATACTCAAATTCAGGTGATGGATGATAAGCACTACAGTGCTAATGGTCCAAAATACAACACCTTCCAATGTTACAGTGCAAGGAAGGTGGTAGAGTTGAGCACAACTATTATCATAAACTAAAATACTTTCTTTTAAAAAAAAAAAAAAGAAAATTGTTTACAGTGTCAAAAATGAAATTTGAAAGAAAACAGGTTTATGTGGAGTTAGAATATATCTCAGTTTCATCTACTGGTGTGTATGTATTTTAAAGTAACTTTAAATTTCATAGCTATGTATTTTTTGTCCTCATCTTCTTTCAGTAGGTAGAATAGATGATACTCTGGAAATAAACTGGGGTGATACAGTAACTGAATCTGCTCTTGGTTCAGTAGCAGCAAAAATGAATATGTGGGACTAAAAGAGGAGCGAAGACAATAGTTTTGTCATACAGGACTCTTAAACTCTAAATAGAAGAACCCAATCAAGTGTTAGAGTTGATTTTGTCTCAGGCTGAAATAACGGGTCAAGTGCAGTGCAGTGAGGTTGATGTCTGGTGGGTCAGTGCTTCTGGTAAGTTGCTTTCTTAAATACGAGGTCTCAGAGAAGGGAATGGTTGGGAATTGTAGAGCAAGACTGGATACAAAAAACTGGGTGCAATTCATTCCTAAGTTTCCCACATTTTTCTTTGATAACCCAAAACTGATCATTTCAATTCTCTTTTTTCATGTCTCTCCACCTATAAAACAGAATGTCATAAGGGAAGATCTTTTAAAAAAAATTTAAATGGCCTGGGCAATAGACATCATAAAACAATCACAGATTGCCTAAGGGTAAGGTGGCTGTTTACATTTCTAAAATGCTCATCTAACTCTAGTCTGAGTCTTGAAATTCATCATCAATTTACCAGTTTTCCACTCTAGACCACATCCTATACATGGAGCTGAGGTGTGAGGAAAGGCACCGAGCTACTATGATAATAAAATAATTTAGGATGTTTTCTGTGCTATTTTTTAGCATCAGAGTCACTCTTTTACTAGTTTCTTGGCATGGCCGTCCACTGAGATGAACCTAACCTAGTCTTCATGCCTCTTTTTGGAGTCCTGTCTTGTACTGAAATAGTGGAGCAACTGGAGAACTGAGTAAGATTAGAGCAGTTATTTACTTTCAGGTCTAGACATTAGAGGATGTATAGAATGTCAGCAGACAAAGCTTTAGGCAAGGTTTGAAGAAACTCATTTTTGGTGAGTTAAATTCATCCACTTGTGATCAAAGAGGATTAGGTCATAGAACTCAAAGACGCTCAGATTTTCACCTCCAATCTTACTTCACTTTCTGGCTTGAGGACAGACAGTGTTTTTCACCAGGGTTGGTTCTGTGCAGTGCAGAAGTGTTACTCAGTGCCTCTTCAATAGGTGCAGAGCAAGGTCTTCAAAGTGTTCAGTACTAGTCTCACTCCCTTGTTCTTGAGGACAATGAGATCGGAAAAAGAAGGTGTTTTATACTTGCACAGCATGGTACAGTGTGCATTTAGAAAATAACAACGTGAACATTTGGAAATATAATGGAAATTTCGAAGCCTGGATACACTTCTGTTCCACAGCAGACACCAGTGTACCCATGTGAATGAAGCATGAGGATTGCATTCAGGTGCAAACTGCTGGTCTTTGGGCAGTGAGGTGCTGGCCCATTTCCATCCATCTCATCACTGATCTTTAACTAGGCTAAAAAATTTTAGATATGTTACATTTGTGTTTTCACAAACTATTTATTTGATCTCATGGACAACACAAGCTTTAATAAGCAAATAAACAGAGGCCAACAGGGAAGTTCTGGAGCTTATGTTCATTGAAATATTTTGAATTTTTA